AAGCTCTCACCTGAGAGGCTGAACTCGCTGCAGCCTCACCGCTAGCTCTCGCCTGACTAGTTGAATGGTAAATGTGAAAAATTAGCAATTTTAATACCAAATAATGTAAAACTGGTGAAGTTAAATGGAAAATAACTTTATGGTACAGATCAGTAGATAAATACAAGCATTTAATTTATTTTTTCCTTTTACATTTTTTTTTCTTTTCATGATGAGAGGTGAGGCTATGCCTCACTTACCTCACCTGACTGCACGTCACTGATCATTACATATGTAAATAAGAAGCCTACATCATACATTAATAATGTGTTGTGCCCAATATCTCCTACTGGTCAAGTCAAAAGAGCCAGCAGGAAAAAGTCACCAACTGGGGAGTGTGCCATGTCTGCAGCAGCCAAAAATGGCTAAGAGCAGCTAGACTGATTTCGGGCTTCGCTAGTTCAACACTGCAGTTACTATCAAGGTGTCACAAATTATGCACAATTCTGCTTGTGTCAGGAGAAAATGATAACAATATTTTATGGTTAGAGTAGATACATACAACATTAGGCAGCCCCTCAGCTACAGGTTGAGAAAGAGATGAGGGCCACATCAAAAATATGTCCTTAAAAAGATAGTTTATAAGCTAATTTTAAGTCACAGTTACGAGGGGATATATATCACACCCTCACTGGCAGTTAAAAGGAAGAAACAGCTACAATCTCACATTGCTCCTGGAAGCACGAAACCGAGTAAACCAGCCTGAAGATGACGAATGAGACTTTGCGTTGAAACGTCGCAAAGACACTTCCAATTTTATGCGGGAGAAAACCCGAATAACCAAAGACCTACATACAAACACCCACGAAAACCTCAGAAAACATATACATACATACAGACACACATACACATACACATAAATACATACATACACACACACACCTATATATGCACATATATTTATGTATATATATGATTATTACATTTTTCCTTTATCAGACTGAAATGCTTCAATATAGAAAGTACATAAATTACACAATAATATAGCATTACATTGTTAATATGTAATTTAATTATAATATATGAATGAATCAAATAACTTCAATCATAAATGTCATCTTAATTATTTTAGTTTTAAATAAACTAAACAGCTTTTCATGAAAGATGACTCAGACATATATTTTATTAAATAAATTATATAGACTTTCCTGACCATAATCTTCAGATTATGCACTAATCCAAAATTCTGTATTTATTTATTTTATTTTTTGTAGGTACCTGGATAATGTGGTTAATCGGCAGAGTATTTTCCCACCTATTCCTCATCTCCATGCTTTATTGACGAGTGGGGATGATCCACCAGTGGAAATTGATGTTTTTGAACTTATAAGAACAGCCTATGAGGTCAGAAGATAATATGAATCTTATATTTTTACTTTGATATTTTTAAATGAATTATATACTGACCTTATAATCTCTATTAATCAGATACGTCTTTAATATCATTCACAAATTCAAGGTATGGGGGTCAACTGTCTGTTTTATGAAGATTGCAATATATAAATCATTTAGTTGTAATTATTTCTTCTTAATCCATTTTTCTTTTAATTAATTTTGGTTTTTGGCTCCCTAAAACCAATCCTATATTTTCAAGTGGTTCTTACTGCTGCTACCATTGGCTGACATACTATATATTTTCCCTCTTTGCTTTCTATTAGAACTTCCAAATCTGACTTCCAGATGAGCACTAGTGGGTAGTGCCTCTTTGTTACCATTTGGTGGCTTGGCTTATTTTTCAGCTCAATTTTCCTCATGGTTTCCAAACATGGCTATGGAGCTATGATTAGTCACCATCACTTCTGCAAGCATTGCTTCATCATCAGTTAAATAATTGCTAAGTAAAATCATAAAAAATCCATAAAATGAGTGTAGGTCTTTCTTTCTTTTTTTTTCAAATATGTGGTATTTTCGGTGGATTTAGTTATAAACCTCAGTTTTCATTTCCACTGCAGAAATTCAGCCATTTGAAAGCGGATGACATTGAACAGATGCGTTTTAAACAAAGATTGAAGGTAATCCATTCTTTAGAAGACACTGCTAAGAGAAGTGTGGTAAGTCGTATCCATATTATTATAAGCTTGTATGAAGTTAACTGATGTTGTTTCTCCTCTTTGGAATCTTTGAAGCTAGATTAAACTAAATAATATCAATAAGTAAATTAGATAAATAACAATTTGCCCTGTTATTCTTTATTTTCTGCAGCTAAGTGTGTAGTATGGTAGTATAATGGTATGTTGTGGTGTCACTGATTTGAATATTGATTAAAAGTCTCCCTTAAGACTGGTATTAATCTGAAGACACAACGTTTGGAATAATTCTATAATTAATTGTTCTGGAAAAATAGAAAGCTTTATACGTGTTGCATTTTAGTTGATTCTGATATTGGCACAGACAATTCCCTACTTATTTATAGGTTACATTCAGAGGAAAAATAGAAAGCTTTATAGGTGTTGCATTTTAGTTGATTCTCATATTGGCACAGACAATTCCCTACTTATTTATAGGTTACATTCAGAGGGGCTATTCAATAAGTCCATTTTGTTCTCAAATCCAATAAGGATAAAAACATGCTAGTGCAGTTCTTGCCTTAGATAAGGGGCAGCATAAGAGTAATACATAACTCCAACCTAAAATATTCTGGAAGTCAGGAGAAGGATTAATTTCCAGCACACTGCATATGTATTCCCGTGTGCCACATATGTATTCAGCATGCCAAATATGTATTCCGATGTGCTGTAATGGCAATTCAATAATTTGTTAGTAGGGTAATTTCGGTATCAACCAACTGAGAGTTGTTGTTTTACTTATAAGCAACAGTGTGATTTCTTGTTTAATTTTAATCCCCTAGCCGGCTGATCTGAAAACATTCCAGCCTTTATTATGAAAATACCTTAGCAGATTTAACCATAGACCCATATTAGCTAATTTTCTGTTTTATTTTCTCCTACTGAAAATGTAACAGGAAATAATGACCTTTTAGTTCTCTGAATTGCTCTATCTGGGAATCTCAAGGGAAGAGTGGCTTTCACATTTTCTTGCTGCTGTTTTTGTCTGTTGTTTGTGGTATCCCTTCCCTCCAGATAGCATCAGATGTCAATTGTCTCTAATGCCCTTGTAGAAGTTTGACAATGAGCATGTTGAGAAAAAAGCTGAGCGGAAGAAAAAATCGACCCATTTCCTGTTCCTGCTGCCAATGATAGTCCACTGAGTGCAGGAAATATAGTACATATAATACCTTTGACCATCTTTTTCTGTTTATTGACTCAGTTCAAGAGAATAGAATTGTTCTTTTTATTTGTTATTCAATTTTTAGAATCTTCTGATCTTACAGATCAGTACCTCATGAATACAGACAACAACAATTCTGTTCAAAACTATTAGATGCTTCTTTCTTTTCAAACGTTACTTCGCCATACTTAAAAAATATGGATTCCTCCTTTTACAAAATCTATCCTTTCCAGATTCCCAGCTGACAAAACTTAGATATATTTGCTTCTGTGATTTCTGCAGGTCCGAGCTGTATCTGGAGACATTGGCTTTTCTATGCAAGAATTAGAAGATCTTTATGTAGTATTTAAGGTGGGAGACCTTGACAAAACATTAGCCTCTTTATTATTGCTGTGAGTAGAGATAAAGCATGCTTATAAAAACTCCTTTAAATTACAGATGCCAGGATCCAAGCTGGTGATGTATTAAAAAGACTTTACGTTCAGACAGTTTGGGTTTATTTTTGAAGTTGAGAAAAGAGAAGGAAATCCAACAAAATAGGTTGATTCAGCTTTTAGTTTTGTTTTTGTTTCATTACATCTTGTAATGCTAAATAAATACACAAGATTTATTTAGTTTTTCTTTGGGAAAAAGATCAGTATTTCAACCAATCTCCAATTAAAGATGCAAGTTTTAAGTAGCTGGGAACAAAATATTTTGCCTTGGATTCTGTTTAGAATTACCAGTAGCAATGTAATAGTTGGGTAAGAAAGCCTTTATAGTCTTTTTTACCCAACAAACACAGAGGTTGAGGACGATTGTGCTTTCAACCATGGCCTTTAAAATTATCACAGTTAAACAAAGAAAAACAGTAGAGCATTCATTACAGTGTTAGAACCAACTTTTCAGGTAACTCTGCCATTTCAAAGGCTTTAGAACTGCCAGAAAACCCTATTTATTCCCAAAGTCTCCTTCTGTCTCATTGAACATTTTCTTCTTTGTTCTATTTGCAAATTGATTGGATTCTTTATAATTATCCTTTTCATTTTCTTGCACATTTCAGAACTGGTTAAAATCCATGCCTAATCCTTTAAGTTATGTCTTCAAGGCTGATAGATTTTTTAAAAAGCGTCATTCACTCTCTCTCAGCCCAACCTCTCTCGCAGCTTTGTTTTAGGGAAATAGGAAGAGGGAGCTTCTGTATGTTACTTTGTACAAAATAAAGGCAGTATGCCGATCTAATAAATCATTCATTTTGTTTATAGGCAAAACACTTAATGAGCTGTTACTGGGGAAATGGTACTTCAGCTGCTCAACGAGACCAGAGCCTACCCTATTTAGAGCAGTATCGCATCAACCTTGAGCAGTTTAAAGACTTGTTTGCTTCCCTTACACCTTGGTCTTGTGGACTCCACACACCGGTGCTTGCAGAAAGAATGTTCCGACTTCTGGATGAAAACAAAGATTCCCTTATTAACTTTAAAGAGTTTGTAACAGGCATGAGTAAGTAGTATCTTCTGACATAGTATCTAGTCTTATATGTTAAATCATGGTGAAAAGTAACACAACACTAGAGTGGTGCAGTTATCTGGATTTCAAGGTCTTTGAGCTAGCGTTGAAGCTGAGGCTGTCTCTATCAGTGGCTGCAGTCCTTTATAGAATACAGAGAGAGACAGAAAACTCTCATTCTTTATTGCCACCCAGTGGTCATCTAGTTCAGATACAGTAGCCCCAAACAATCTCAAACAAAACTGCAAAATTCAGTGACAATTTCTGAAGAAAGTTGAATTAAAACACATTATCATTATTAGAGTGATCTTCCCCGTGACCCGTCAAAACCGCGGAGGACAAAATCGCGCTCGATGAAAGCGCGTATTTGACGTCATCACAGCGCGACGAAAAAAATTAAAAATTGAAATAAAATTAAAATTAAAGCAAGCCGATTCACATAAAGGTAAGGGTTAGGGTTAGGTTAAGGGTTAGGGTTAGGGTTAGAGCGTTAGGGTTACGTTTAGTGTTAGGTTAAGGGTTAGCATTAGGTTTAGCGTTAGGTTAAGGGTTACGTTTAGGGTTAGATTTAGGGTTAGGGTTAGGTTTAGGGTTAGGTTTGGGGGGGTTGGGGTAAGGTTTTCGCTTTATTTTTACATTTTTCGATCACAGTGCAATGTTTTCGTCGCGCTGTTATGACGTCAAATGCGCGCTTTCGTCAAGCGCGATTTTGTCCTCCGCGGTTTTGTGGTGGAACCATCTTCCCCACAGGGTGGATAAATCTATAAGTAAATCTATTAAACATTTTTTCAATCGTGATATCAGCAAAATGTCCATAATATCAGAACTTTGCAAAAAATGTTTTATTTCACCATTGACCGTATAAAATAACTTTATATTCCTTTCTTTTGCTCCTAAGTCATAATATTTAATCAATTTTGTCATGGAATTTGATTTCTTTTTAATTCTTCTTGATTCCATCACACAGATTTCTTAACAAGCCTCTTTTGTAAATCCAATAAGAAAACATTTTCCAGACCATTCTCTTGGTTTATCATTTATATTTCACTTTAAATGTTTAAAGTTTCACCCACTTTCAATTGTATATCCAGTAAAGTGTCATTTTCAAAATTATTTTCTTGGTCTGTGAATTGCAGTTTCACTTTGCATAGTTTTTCTGTCTTGTAAGATAAAATTTGTTCCACATCTGTCATTCTTTCATTCTTTTGGACATAGTTTATCCATAGAAGCAGACATCATTATTGATATTGTAATTACTAATTTCTGCTCCATTCTTCAACAATCTCCTTTAATATTTCTGATATTGTAATGTTTTTGTCATTTTGTGTCTTCCGGTGTCATAAAATGACACAAAACATTTTGATTTCAGTAATGAAATCAATAACAGGTTTCTTTCTTTCTTTTTAGTTTCCTGTAGTCTACTTTCTAAAGTCATGAAGTAACTTATCTTTGTTATGGCTTAAAATAGCCAAGATGGCCAAAATAAGTTTATTTCCAGCGAGAAACATTTTTTATAGTTAATTTTAAAATCTTATATGTATGTGGGGAAGGGAGTGGAGACCATTTAGCAAGTGGCAGCAGTTTGCAACCTTTCTATCAACTACTCCACTGACTTTCTGGGGAACTAGCAGAGAAGATTGAAAATGGCAATCTCACGTTCACAGGGTACTTGGCAACGGGTTGTAAGTGTGAACAGATTTCTAAGCACCGAGGTCACAAACATAAGACGGTGGGGTGGGGAGCAATGTTTTACAATGGCTGGAAGTGCTTTACATACCATAAAGCACCTCTTCTGAGTCATGGTAACTTTAAACAGTTGTTAAATGAGTGGCTGAAAGTTGAAGATTACCTGTAAAGCCATATATAGTTTGGGTGCATATTATGGAAGCATCTTCTCCAAGTAGAATTTTCTAGCTCTAAATGGTCTACCAGAAAGAGAATGGTCTGTGTATCAATCTAGAAGAACCTAGGCAGGTTGGAATTCATAGAATGCCATTCCTACTATTGGCCTCTCTCTTTAGAGTAGCATGTCCCCTGAGATCAGATGGGCCTCTGCTCTTTTGTTCTCTAGGAAATATGGCGAAAACAGTTCTTGGGTATCCAATGGTTTTTATTAATACTACTTACAATGTTATTTACTGTCAAACTGATGGCCCACAGGTTGGATGCGTCATGCACAGGTCACGCCCACCCAGCTCGGCGAAGCGAAAAGCATCACAAAACATCATGCGATGGCAATGTGATGCCACGAGTTTGACCCCCTTGTCATAGACTATAAGACATCTAGAATTGCTAGAAGAAATGGCATATAAATATATTGATGAAAATAAATAAATGAAAATCAATCATGCTGAGAAAAAAAAAGCATAAAAACAAGTTTTAACCTCAGAGATAATCATAGGAATAGGAAAAACTTTACCAGCTAAACTTCCACATCATAGTCATTAGGCATAAGAATCCATCAGAAAAAAGGCTATCTATAAATACTTCTAAAATCTAGGTATTTTTCTAATCCCAACAGGTGGAATGTATCATGGTGATCTGACTGAGAAGCTGAAACTCCTTTACAAACTACATTTGCCTCCAGGTGATCCACTTCTTTCACACTTCTGTTGGTGGGAGTTAAAGATTACAAATTTCTTAAGGCTGTTTTATTAAATTTACTAGACTGATGGTACATATAAGTGATTACAATATTCTGCCCATAAGAATATAAATAATATTACTAATTTTAGTATAGGTATGCAGAGATTTAGTGTACATAGGTAGAGAGGTTTTAATTTCTCCATCTGTGCTCAGATTAATGAAGAAAGAACCCATCGGCAGAAATGGCAATGTTTTCTTTATATGGTTTGTTAAGAGATGGGCCTAGGTGAGTTTAACCATTGTTTCTTCACACAATAATCTTAGGATTGGCCCATTACCAAAAAAGACAGAATTATTCTATGTACAGAATTTAACAAATGACATGTTAGCCCCAAGACAGCTTTTAATTATATATATTTGCCTTGTAAATCTTAATTGACTTAATTTGTATGAATTAATTGATGATGTGGTTATTAATTAACACACTCATTAATATATTCATAAAGCATAGGACTTTCTAATTTTAATTTTCTGTGAGCTTTTTCATCTCTGCCTAATTTTAATTGCTTTGCAGAATAATTTGTACATTTTGGCTAAGTGCTTTGGCTGTTGGGCTTGTTTCCATTTATATCATATCTTTTTCTACAGAAAGGAAGATGGGGGTCAAACCACTTCCTATTGTAATGTAGACAACACCTCTATTTTGGCTGTGTAGACCTATTAAAATTATGGAAGTATTCTGAAGACTGTAGTACAGTGTTAGAGTTGAAGCCCTGATCACCATGTGAAATACAACAGTAACACAGGCAGTTGACATGAGCACTTCCTAATATGCTCTTCTCATCATACCCTCCATTATCTTATGAGTATATATCTAAGTTGAAGGAAGAAAAGTAGACTGAGAGATTATCAAAATTTAAGTAGAAAATTTTTTGCTTTAAATTCAGCTGAAGTATTAGTAGTCCTTACTTACTAACTGCTTCAAAAGAGCTTTTTCAAACGGCAATCAGACTTTGTTTTTCTTTGAAGATGTTTTGCTTCTCATCCAAGAAGCTTCTTCAGTTCTGACTGTGTAATAGCTAAACTAACTCATTTTCTGGTACAATTCATGATTAATGCTTAGCTGTAACATAATAATTGCCTTGTTTTTCCTATAAAATTATTTTTGTTTGAAGAAGGACTCTGTTAATTCTCCTTGTCCTTCCAGCAGTTTTTTGGCCAATATAGTCCTCAAGAAGGACTTGTCTATATTAGATGTGGATGGTTCCCATTGATCTCACTTAAACTTGAATGACTATTTTCAGAGGGCATATTAGTGGATCTGGTGCTCTGATGGCATTTGTGCCATTCCACATAATCCTGCCATCCCACACAAAACTACTGAGATTCATCAGAGTTCTTTTCTTCATCAAATTCAAGGGAAACAGTGTACTTGGACAGGCAAATGGATTCATCTTTGTCATTAAAAATCTCAGATGTTCACTATAATATCACCTTAAAGCGCTCCATGGTAGTGGATCTGACTATTTGAGAGACCGCCTCCTGCCAATTACCTCCCTGCGTCCCATCAGATC